TCCAGGCTGCAAAGAATCGACCACATCAGATGAGAATTCAAAGCCATTATATGCTTTTCTGGAAAGTGTCTTAAATGACTTATTTCCAAAATGAGCAGAAATTTGACCTTTTCAGACAAATCTGAGGAGACTTTTTTTTTTTCCCCCACAGTAACCCAGTGGTTATAACGCTGCATCATATGGTATTGGAGACTGTGATGTTCATGCATCTTCCAGGATTTTAGAGATTGTTTTAACTATCTTTACGTGTAAAATGCAAAATAAATTTGGCTACTCTTTTTACTAATAAGGAAACAGAGTTCATTCTTTGTTTATAATTTTCTTGAGTCTTTATCCTTTGAGTCAATTGTTAAATATAATATAGGCATGGAGTGTGTGGAAGGATTGTTTCTCATTTACTCATTGTGTCAAGCAGTCATATTTGTCATCACCTCGAATATAATTTTTTAGTCACATTGGCTATGTTTTGTTAATATAACCACAGTTGAAAGTTTCAGCATATAAAGTAGTTGTTAAAAAAAAAAAATGTACCAAATGAGATTAAAAGCTGCTTTTAAAAAAAGAAGTGAAGAGTGCTACATAGATACCCTGAAGTGCTTGGTAAAAGTACTAGGTAAGATGTAGGTAGAGCTGATAATTATTAACTATGTAAATTCAAAAGAAATAAGATGCAATATTTAATATTTTGCTGTATTCCTATAAACCTTTTTGAGAAAGCATTAGTAAAATAAGGCTGTGGTTTCATGTTTACTTTAGACTGGCATAAATGTACACCGTTCGTAGAACGGCGGCTCTCTTGATTTGCTAGTGTGGCCTCAAGGGAGCATAAGCTTGGCTTATGTCTGCTTTAAATGGTCTAGAAAATGCAGCCAAAGAGTGGTGTTTCCTGGTAAATTAATATCTGCCTGAGAATAACTCAAGTTTTTCAGTTTGCTCTTGCAAGTTTTAGATAACAAGAAGACAGAATTTTTCCCCTTCCAACAGCTGATGAAGGCTGAGAAATATTGAACTAAATATCCCCTCATCGGGGCATTCCAGGGCAGCAAGTCTCCTTTGTTCTGGCCTCTGGCTACTTGGTTTATCCTGTGACTCTGCTTGGCTTTTCAGGGTCTGAGCCCTACGATTTAATACACAAAATCCTTGTGCAGTCGTATAATGAGGTGAGCAGTGAGTATAAATCCTTGTTTCTTTTGGAATATGAGGGAAAAAGAATGTCACATGTGACAGCATACTGAATTTAGCATGCTGTTACATTTTTAAAGTTTATTCTTTATCTGAATTTATGTCCTCTGTTTGGTATTCTTTTCAGTATCTTTACTCCAAATAACACGCTCACTTATCCTGTAGCTGGAAAAAAGGCTTCATTAAGCTATTGCCTTCTTCAAATACAAATGAAGTTGTATTTCCAGAGAGTAAATGTATGTATTATAATGTGATTTGGATACAGCAGATGCACTGGTACACTTTTAGGCTGGCTGTCCTGTATAGATGGCATACTACTGCTGGGCTGGTAAAGTTTAATTGATTAATCTAGTTAACTTTTCTGGCTTGCAAAACAGCCAAAATACTCAACATCACAAAAAGCATTGTAGTCGTGAAAAGATATGCCCCTTTTATTGATCACTTGAGTACTAAGTAAAATTGAAATATTCATTTTTCTGAAAAGTATGCATAAAAATTCATTTTGAAAACAAAGTGTATGTATAGATCACTTGTCCTAAAAATGGCATGGAGGAAATAAAGATGTTGAATTATGTTTTCCTTCTCATTTGTTGAAGCATCACAAATGTCAGAGGATGGCTCTTAAGTATTATGAGATACGCTGTCTCTCTCTCTTATGGTTTTGTCAGATCTTTAATTTTGTAGAATAAAGAAGCTCTGAGCAGAAGTGAACATTCAGTGGCAAGGTTTTTCTCCAATCTCTTCATATGTACATATTCCTACTGAGTAAGGCTGTTCTTTTATATATAAAAAAATCTCCTTTTAGGTATCTACTTATATATCTACACACACATGCACACACATCTATATATAAAAATGTTTTTATTGTTTAAGTGCAATACAGTAAATGGGTTGAAAACAGAGATAGGCTTCTTGGAATTAGGTGTATCTTTGAGTAGCTAAATTTCAATATTCAACAATCTGTTTTCTGATCATCTTATATGTGATAGTTCTGTCTGCCAAGGGTATGATGAGTACTGATTAGGTCTTTTGAAAGAGGGAGCGACTGAGAAGAAAGGGAAGAAGTTTTTCCTTCTCTTTCAAAAACGGATTACTGTTTTGCTGCTATGAACTGTTTCTGATCTGTTAGGTTCGTCATCCTTATAGATGAAGGATGCAAGTAGTGTGGAGACGCCTTGTTTGGGTCGTCTTCAGGAGCTGCACCTTCCCCTGTGATCCAAATGCATAAGCTCCTGCAGTTTGAAATGAAGAACTGGATATAACAATTAGGTCCCAGACAGGGATAATGCTTTGAACTTTAGCTTTATTGTTTGTTTTTTAAAGTGCAAGCTTATAGTTTGAGATGATAGAGAACCAAGTAACAGATGATACAAAAAAGTATTTTATTTATTAAAATACAAAATTAAGATTGGCTCACTTACCTAAGTGTATGTTATAAGCAGGGGAAAAAAGACAGTGTTAACACAGTTTGTCCAAGTTTAATGACTGACTTTTTTGTACACTTTTTTCTTTCTTTCTATTCAAGGCTGAAATCCTAGTTTGTTTGAAGGAAGAACGATTTTTATATATAAAGTATTTGATAGCCCTAATGGATGTTAACATTCAATTCCTACTTTTGACCTAATTTGTCCTTTTACATTTGTTTCTGAAGATTTTCACTGTGTTATTTCTTAGTTTTGCTGTTTTAAAGGTCTAAAAATTTGAATTTCCTTAAAAGGATTTTTAATGTGTGAAATCTCTATAAACTATATTAATATAATACATTTTAGCAGTATAAAATGTAATATTTCATGAAGAAAAATTCCACTGCTTCTGACCTGATTTCTGCTCTAAAATGTGCATAGGTACCTTATATGGAACAAATACAAACATGACCGATCTAAGTTGCTTGGTTTTGAAATCAATGCAGAGAGTTTTGGGATTTGCTACCAGACTACTTTCTTGATGGTCTACTCTGAGATTGCAGTTGCCTAACGTGTTTTAGACTTCTATTAATTGACACTTCAGTATGTTGGTATTTGGTATTAGCTATTTAAAACGTCCTTTTCAGACAAAATTAATTCTTGGCTTTTGTGTCTCAAAAAGAAAAAATACACATAACTATTTTAGGCTAGAAATACCTGTAAAGTGAATTTAATAAGAAAAATGTATGATGACTGATTTGATTAACTGTATGCAGTCATTGGGAAGCCATTGTGTTTATGTATCTATAATGAATAAACTCTAGATTAAGAAGTAAAGATGCCTGGGTTTTACTTGTTTGCACGTGAGCTAGGTTGATACATGGCTGGTTAATGTTATCACTGGAAGTCACGAATTACTTTGGCTGACTAACCAGAATTGGACGAAGTAACAAGTTACTAATATTTCTCCTTGTGACTGACAGCTCCTTTTCCAGAAATAATTGCACAGATGAGAGGGTGTGAGAAATGGGAGGTCTGTTCGTCTTGGCAATACGTTCTTCTCCCTAGCGATAACATAATACAGCTCTTAGTCACTTTGAGGTAGGAGTGGGGGGAGGTTTGCCTTTTAGGAAAATTGTGGGAGCTTGTGACTGATAGTCCTTCTGTTAAAGTTTGGTGTATTGTAACATGGTCACCTTGGCTCAGATTATTTTTATTCCCAAGTAAAAAATTCCTAGGTAGTAAAATGGCAAAAAAGTCAGTCACTGACCTTAATAAGTAAGTAGAAGTTGAAACACTTCAAAAGGTGTTTAAAAATGTTTCCAGGTATAGATTAACGAAACAGAATTTCTGTCTGTTTAAATGTACTTGGGGAAAAAATTGAGCAAAGGGACTGCTGTCTAAAAAGAAGTTACATATTTCACTAAAATCAGTTGAAATGCATGCTTCAGTTCTTTAACTGCAGAGAGCTTGCTTCTTATCGTTTTTTTACTCTAGTGTCCTAGTTATCACATTTTTGATTGATACATAGTTTTTGATTGATATACAAAGATAATCAACTATAATATTTGTAACCTATGAATAATTCTATAGAAACGGTAAAAAAAAAAAAAAAAAACCCCTCATCATTCGTTTCAGCTTGCTGAGCTGATTTTGAATTCCCTCGTGCATGTAGTTTGTAAAGCAAAATTGGAAAATCAGCAGGGGAAACCGTATCTTTCACCCTTCATCAAAATAATTAAGTATGTAGGGACAATATCTGCAAACCAGTCATGGTGATGCCATTTACCTCTGAGGAGCTCTGGCCAAGTGTCAGAATCTATTTCTTAAATTTTGTGTCAAGAGATTCGCTGGTTAAAAATGTGTGGTTCATCTCTGAAGCTGGTACAGGAGCTGAAGAGCCAATAAGATATAAAAAGTAGGTTCTAGTAATTGGCATTGGTACTTCCCAAGTACTTCTGGTTTTACAGACAGTATTCAACTGTGCAACTTGATGAGGTATAGCATTTGTAGTAATGGAGTAAGGTGAGATTTTTGTCAGTGTACAGCCAGTGGCTTTTCTTAGCTGTGTTATTTTGTATTGCATTTATAAAATAGTACTATTTCCTTTTGTTCGCATTCAAAAATAGCATGGCATAGGATTTGGCAGAACTCTGCTACTACAAATGATACCTTCTGGGAAAATGTTTGAAATGCAAAACAGGCTACTGTATTCTCTACTATGTAGAATGTAAAAACATGCAACTGACCACCCTCAGGTTTAGGTAGCTGTATAGTATATTGAACTGGGTACTGTCCTTATACTCTCTCTATTTTTACCTTTATTGAGGGTTTTATTTTTTTTCTGAGAAACTTCTGTAATGCTGAATCTGATGTTCCACTAGTAAATTTTTTTGTTTGTTTGTTTTTGTTTAGGAACTCAAGCCTCAGAGCCATTACAACCATGGATATAGTGAATCTCTTGGGCGGAAAAGCCACATTGATGATTATAGCACTTGGGACATTGTCAAAGCCACACAGTAAGTTTATTTTTGTTGAGTGTTAGGTTATTCTGTGTCTGTAGTAATTAAACAGCAAAATGAATTTCTTTCATTTACATAAACTTGAAGGGTAACTTTACACTTACAGAACTAGTAATGCAGGATCAAAACTGAACTTTACAACAGCACTGTTAAGAAACTTATGAGCACTGTATGAAAATATGCAGGAGTAATTGTTATAAATTGTAAATATAGGTGATTGCTGGGCAGATGGTTGGAAGAGACGCTAGTTTTATTTTTTCCTCATATTTGGACTGGTGTATATATTCTGTAGGTGATGATTAAGAGGTAAATAGGCAAAACAGATAAGCAAACGTGGGTTTTCTTGAATTGTTGGCATCGTTTATTGCTTAAAATGTGTCTGTATGTAATTTCCTCCATCACTTCTAATTCTGCTGTTTCAAAGCTGCTGTGAAACTGACTTCTTTGCTGAGAAAGGACTTTAGGAATTAATTGAGATCATACTAATGAATAATTGCATTTTTCATGCAGATTAATGTTATAGGCTTATTTCCTATGCAGTTATGTAGTATATACTAACTTACAAGATTTTACTAAGCAGTGATGTGATTTTACATCACATCACTTTTCAATTTACCTTTTCCAAACCACCACAGTCACTTTTCTTGGGCGAGCTGAGATGATAGGCTATTTTGTAAGGTGCTTCTTTCCTTTTACAGGTAATTTGAATGCTTATGTTTCTTACCTTGCCTAGGTATTTATCTTATTCAAAAGAATGTTTTCTTTCTTTTTTTTTTTTTCCCTAAAAGCCACCACCTCCAACTGAAAGCACCTTTGCAGCTATGTATTTGACACAGCCCCTGTTTAGATGTAGGAAGTATGTACTTTCTATCACTTCCATTTTTTTTTTTTAATTCCAAATTATTAAGAATTAAACTTCCTGAAGGAGGTATTGACTGATTCCACAGTCATTGCTGTAAAGACTTTAGCAGTAATACTGCAAACAATAACTTATTAGCATGTCTGGAATTCCCCTAATTCGATGGCATGCCAATATTTTCTGCTTTTTAAAGACATACAAATATCATGATGGCACAAGTAACTTCTAGTTACCCGCTTCTGTTTTGTGCGATCATTGCATGTTCTAAACTCAACCCTAAAACACACTTGTTTCTGTTATTCCTCAAAGTTATGCTAATCTGTGCTTTGAGTTGAGTTGTTGTAATCCTTTTCTGGTGTCCTCTAATAAGGATCAACAGGGCTGGGAATGACTTATGCTCTCCCTCAAAATCTTCTAAGGATGGTGGACTGGTGATTTCTCTTCTTCTCTGTAAGAGAGGGCTATGGTTTCATATCACGCAGAAAGGTAGCAGCTAACATGGAATACTATGAGCTCAGGTTAGTAATATCCTTTGGAATCTCTTCGACTAGAGGGCAATCTCACCTTTATTTTAAGTGTTTAGAAGGATTTGATAGCAATGATGTACAACGCAGGGTGATCTTCACAAGCTGCCTTTGATAAGGGAAAAATCTCTAAAATTTAAGATGGGAAATTCCTCCCCCCCCCCCCCTAAGGCTTGCAACAAAATAAAGAATACTGCTAACATGGTAATTCAAACAAAAAAAACTCACATTCCTCTGAGAGGTAAAAGTTTCATTTGATAAAAAGCAGTGGTAAAAAAGTGCTTCTCTGATATTCAGTTCTTATAAAAATGAAGTTTTGTTTCTATAGAAGTCAGTAACCACACCATTCATTTTTTAATACGGATGAAAAATAGGAGATCTCATTCTCTACCATTTGCCCTCAAAAATCAGTGTTCACTTAGATTAAAATATATGCTGACTTAGTTTGCTTTTCAGGTCAGTGCTAAAGAAAAAAGGTTTGCAAAAAAGAGCCATTCATCTGTCTCCCAGAATTCCCCATCCCAAACAATTCAGCAAATTCAAATGTAGCAAGATAGAATAAGAATTGTTTTCAGTTTCTTAGTTTTGGTGTCTGTCTTGCTCTTTACCTTCCCCTATTTCCATCCCCCCTCCCCCCTACCTCCAAGTCCAGACACTCGCTATTCAGCATGGCGTTGGCAGCACGATTAGGTTTTTTTGCATCTAAGCATTCTTCAAAGGCTCCCTAAAAGAACATTACAGGTTTTCTTAAAATGAGATACCATCAAATGGCAAGTTGAGTGCTTGCCATTAGCAAAACAAAATCCCATTGGATTTAAGAGTGATCTGATAACACAACTTTTTTTATTTTTCAATTATAATTGGTTTGATCTTATAGCTTGCCCTGCCCCTGGACCAACAAACTGATCTGTCTGTGTCATCTGAAATCTATTCCCTTCTCACTCAGGGCTGGTGATCTGCAGGTTAATAATCACCTTTAGTGGAATTTAAAACTTTGCCATAATTTTGATTATTTCAAATTATTTTCCTTCTTTCTGTGGAAACAGAGGAAGAACTAAGAGCTAATGTTGATTGTCTCCCATCTGAGATTTAGGGAAAAAAAAAAGTGATCAAGAACTGGTAAGCATATTCAGGGTTGCGTAGCTGCTAAAATTTGTTCTATCTACTGTCATTGTGCAAAGTTTTTGTTTTATTGCTCTCATGTTATTCATATATTCATTCAAGTTTTTAAATGATTTGATGATTTGCAAGGAGGAAGCAGGGCAGCAATAAGTAGGATCACAGCCCTGGACTTCAGGAGAG